TGGTATATGATATCAAACATTATATAATCTTGGATTAATAAAATGCCAATATAAAAAATATAAGAAAATGGGAGAGTATTTTTGCAATTAGGTTTAAAGTGAGAGATCAATTAGATTAGATAAATATTCTATATAATGTGACAATAAGGTAAATAAAAAAAAAAAAAAAAAAAAACTAAAACTAACACTAAAACTAAAACTAAAACTAGCTTTAGAATTAGAATTTTTTATCTCTAATCTCTAATCAATGCCATTTGGCTTTAGAATTATATATTTTATATCTAGCTAATCTTGTATGCTAGTAACTCTTTCAAGTGCAACAATATGAACTTAAAATCCATGTTATCATGATAGCTTTGCAAATTGTTGGTCATCAAAGTTAGCATATTGCACCTGAATTGAATATCGTTGTTCTTCCACATCTCATAGATGGAAACCTCATCTGTTCTGCTCCTTAAGAAAAATTACTATAATTAGATGCATATAGAACACAGCATGTTGAGGTTTTCAACAAAAATTCTCGATTCACATGGCAAGTCATAAAGGTTTGCACCAGTAACCTTTTTTTGCAACTAATATAAACTTAGATATGTTTTGATTTATTTTTACCGTAATCTATAAATGGACAACAATAGGCATAGGACTTGGTTGATTAAATTACAAATAACTAGGGTCTATAAATTAAATGTAATACTTAATTATTTGATATAAATACATAAACCCTCACTTATACAAATGAGCATTAGTTTAGTGGGGTCAAAATCTCATTGTTTCATCACGTCTCTTTCCGTAGCATAACAAGCTACTATGTTTTTCTTTCTTCATAGGTAGGTGATTTATTGTCAAATGCATCAAATGACACTCTTGATTAGATTTTGCCTCTGGGTCCCTAATGACTTTATAATAACATAACAAACTATTAATTACTCAGTTAAATTACATTTATCACGCCTATTAATCAAGTTTAAGAAATATCTTTTGTAGTAGCATTAGAAATGAATAACAAACACTCTTCTATTAAAATTTTATATTTTGATAATTAAAATGTTATTTAAATTATTGACAATAATATTTTTTATAAAAATACGAATCACATCAAATTTAATTTTTATTTTATCATTATGTTATTTAAGAGACCATTAACATAGTCTTCATATCATCATCGAATCAAACCACTTGTATTTTTTGTTAAACTCACATTTTGATTTTGATTTTGAAGGAGTGTGTTGACATAATATAATGTATGTATGTTTAAAAAAGTAATGTATATATAATAAGATTTTTGTGTGTGTGTGTGTGTGTATATGTCTTCTCTGATATAAGTAAATATATAATGTGTAAAATAGAAGTTTGGTAAAAATCTTAGAATCATTATTATTATTATTATTATTTTTTTTGAAAAATAATTTTCATTAAATTAACATAAATTATATTTTATCTTTTCCTTTCTTTTCCCATCACTTCTGTCAATCAAAATTAGTGTTAGGATAGTGTACTGAGTATCTAGAATGGTCCATCTTAAACACTAGGATCCTATTTGTGACATTGCAGGCAAAAGCATCCTTTCTCTGTCATTATGCCCTAATCCAAGACTCCATTTTGGTGCATACCATAAATGACGGTGAAGGTGGGTGGAGAAAAATTCAACATAAAAACATTATAAACATAATTACTTACAAATTATACAAACCAACAAGAAAAGCAAAAAAAAAAGACCAAACAAAAACACATGTGAGTTCCCTATATAGGTATACACAGACACATATATTCATATCTATATCAATGGAAGCATATCAACAGATTTAGGCCTCACTACAAAGCTCATGCCAAAAGGACATGTGAACAGGAATGTGTTCTAAAAAGAATAAAGTCCAAATATAGTTTCTTTTTTTTTTTTTATTTTTTTCTTGTAAATCTTGTAATAATTACGTGTTACAAGAGTAACTATGTTTGTAATATGTTTATTTTAATAATTAAATTAAATTAACTGTTGATTTGATAGAAAACAAAAATTGGATATTTAATTTAATTTTTTTTTATTAAAAAAAAAAAAGGAGTGAAAGCTTAATCAATATTTTTATAATTAAATTATCATGCAAATATTATTTTAAGCCGACAAACTTTAAACAACAACTCAAAAGTTAGTATTAGCTCATCTAATTATTTATTTAATTAATCAGAAGGAGGATTAAGATTTATTAAATAAGTGAAAGCCATTAAAATACATAATACCAACAAGTTGTAAGAAGATAATAATTTAATTAGGCGACAAGGTTTTCAGTTACATCAAATGACAAATGGGTTTTAATTAAATCAATCTTTTTGTTTATGAATTAATTAATGATGACAATTATCTACAATTAACAATTTATCCTACGGCTATCATGTAAGTTTTCTATCATGACACACGCGTGCCACACAGCGACAGCCACCTTTTAATTAATTCTTCTTTTTAATTATTTCTTCCCACTGGTCTATAATTCTCTTTTTTTTTTTAAAAAAAAAAAGATAAATACATTTTCTCTCTTTAAGTTCATTGTAATATTATACAAAAACAATCTTATTTGAGTAAAAATTATTTATTTTATAATTACTTAATATTTTACTCAATATAAAATTCATTTTATAAAAAAAACTTATCAGAAAAATGCATCTAAAATATAAAAATTACACAACTAATAGTATGTGGTATAATATAGCAGCTAACGAAAAAAAAAAAATAAAACAACATTTTTTTTTTTACTTTTTAATATTAATCATAAAATATTTTAAATAATAACATATTCTGTGAACCGATGGAAAGAAAAATGACATACAATTTAACAATATATAAATAGCAGTGGGATAAATGTGTATAATAATTTATAAAATTAGTTATCTTTTCCTCAATTTTTCTTTTTTTTTTTAAAAAGACTAATTTCAGTGCTAATAATATAATAAAATCAAAAGGTTGTCCTTTGGAAAAAAAAAAAAAAAAAAAAAATCCACTAGTATATATTAATCAATTTGTAGTGTGTGGCAGGGAGTGAAGTGCAAGGAAAGATAAGTACCAAAGATTAATCATCCTGTTGTTAAGGACACCGTGTTCTTTTATTAATTGATTTAATATAAGTTTAGACTACTAATTAAAAGGGTTTAGCCCTAATGGTTACCCAATAAAGGACCATTTTGTGTAGCCCAATATAAATCTTTGTATAACACAGTGATATATAATAAATAATAATTACATATATTATTCATTTTAAATTATATATTTTCTGTAAATATCTTAAGTTCAATCCAAGCATACGAACGTTATAAAAAAAAAAATGCCATTAAGAAACTACTCAGAGAATTTTAGTTTGAAGTAAAAGATCAAGGGGAAAATAATTTAATTTATTTAAAAATTGAATTTAAAACTAAATAATACAAATTTTTATTTAAGACATGCATTATTGTAAATTAACAATTAATTAAACTAATAAACCAGTCCGGTTTACCCTCCTTGATTAGTAATACTGTGCACATCAAACTAATTACATGAGACGTATTATGCATATTATTATAAATTTTTTTCAAAACATATTGTAATAATTTATTTTATCAACAAAAAATAAGTTATTCAATTTTTATCACAAAGTTGAAAATTCTCAACTATTAAAAAATATAAAATAATAAAATTATAATTATAAAACTTAAAACACAATATACAAACCAAACACTTTCTTGTAAATTATATACTGTGCATTAGCATCATACTCATTTCGGTTTTTTGACTTTTCATCCATGCCCGCGAATATACTCCATTAATATCCTGTCCTATTGGGGCTGATTAGGAGGTTACCCGGCCCAATGTCCATCTCTAAACTCAAAACTCTCAAAGTTCAAGTGAATAATAATTTAATGATCCATTATTCTTAGTGTAAAGAGAGACAATAATCTATGATCATACATTATGAGTAATATTTGAAAAACGCATAATGATGATAGCAACAAATTCAAAAGATTATTATGATTAATATAACATTATTAACATGATTCTTTGAAGAAATAACCTTAAAAAATTGACTAGAAACTTTGAGATATTAAAAGTAGATTACATAACTTAAATTTTGTAAAAATTTACTTAAGAAACCCCGGCTTCTCCCATCTCATCTATCTTTATGAGTACTTATCAAATTATTGGTAGAATTCTTTCCATTGTTTCCAATGAGCAAATAAAAATTTTTCAAATATTTTTTTCCATTTAATTCAGTAAACATAATGCAAAACTTACTATATGCTTTTAAGTTAGAGACTATTTGTTTCAGAGGGTTATATTGTTTGTTCAATTAAAAATTTCTAATTTTCTTCAACATTTTCATATGATGATTAAAAATGCTACTTTAAAGACCCTCATAATAATGCAGGTAAAAAAAAGTATCTTTTCTGTAAAGAACATTTCTCAAATTACCTTCAAGCTTCTTGGCCAAGCTCTTTAAGGTCCGGTACATATCCAGATGATCTCAACAATTTCGTCAATCCTCTCAGGGTTCTATAAGTTGTCTCTGTTTTGGGATGCCTCTCATCTAACGAATAAAACTCAAACAAAGTATCATTGACCTCAATCAAGCTGCACCCTGGTAATTTTTTAAAGCCAGTATCCCTCATTGCAACTTTTAACCTGGCCACATCTTTCCATCTTCCTAAGTGCCCATATAAGTTTGAAAGCATAACAAAGTTAGCAGGATTTTTTGGTTCAAGTTGAATCAGATGCTGAAGAGCCAATTCAGCCAATTCAACATTTTTGTAAACCCTACATGCCCCCAGTAAAGCAGCCCAGATAATGGCATCTGCTTCCATCGGCATTTTCTTCACAAATTCCACGGCCTGGACCAAAAGACCAGCTCTTGATAGCAGATCAACTAGGCAACCATAATGCTCAATTTGAGGAACAATTGAACAATCATCCACCATTGATTGGAAATATGATAAACCATCATCAACTAGTCCCATATGAGTACAAGCACACAAAACACCAATGAAGGTGATCCCATCTGGCTTGACTGAAACATTCTTCATTTCATGGAACAAACTTAAGGCAGCAGCTCCATGTCCATGCATGGCTAAGCCTGTAATTATCGTATTCCAACTTATCAGATCCTTTCTTTCCATGCCCTTGAACACATACAATGCAATTTCTATAGCTCCACATTTTGCATACATGTCAATCAACGCATTTGTAACATAAACATTTCCTTTATACCCATTTTTCTCTGCATATATGTGTATCCATTTTCCCAAATCAAGAGATCCTAGTCTTGCACATGCAGACAACACGGCCACGAGTGTGGCATCATTAGGAAGTACATTCTTATCAACTAACATGCTTGTAAAAGCATCCAAAACTTCACAGAAACGCCCATTTCGGGCATAACCTCCAATTAATCCATTCCAAGAAAAAACATTCCTTTCAGGCATCTTTTCAAACAGTCTCTCACATGCCTCAATATCTCCATTGTTTGCATAACCATTCAATACTGTGTTCCATGACATGACATCCTTCATCGGCATCTGATCAAAAAGCTTGCTCGCCTCTGCCATATTCCATGACTCAATATAACCTGAAATCATTGTGTTCCACAGTACAACATCGCGCTCAGGTGCCAACTCAAAAAGACGCCGTGCAGAAACTATATCACCACATAGAATGTAGCCATTGATCATTGAAGTCCACGCAACTACATTCCTGTCAATCATCTCACTGAACACCCTATAAGCCGCCCCAATCAATTCCCCACCTGAATACATATCAATCAACGCGGTGCCCACAAATTGGTTTGCTCTAAACCCACCTTTGATGACAAAACAGTGCACTTCCACGCCCTCTCTTATCGCATTAGTCCTCAGACAAGACTTAAGAACAATAGGGAATGTAAAGCAATTGGGCATGACATCCATCTTTATCATCTTGCTAAACAGAACAATAACTTCTCTGTAACGTTCATTTTGTGCATAGCTTTTAAACATGGCATTCCATAAAGAAACATTTGGTTGAGTAATTCGATCGAACACTTTGTGTGCATACGCCAGTTTCTTCAGTTGGCCACATACTGCAACGATTCCTGGGGCAATATAATCGCTTTGCTCAAACCCACTAGTGATTATCTGGGTTTGTACTTGGTGGAGGTGCTTGTCTGATTTACATGACGATACCAGGTACATAAATTTCTCTTCGAGAAGTCTGTGAGGAGATTTTGAGGCTAAAATTACAGGAAGCTTCCCAATTTTTTTTTTTCTAGTAGAAAATGGCTAAGTTCATAGTTTTATCCGCTGAGAGCGCCTCAATATGTCTGTATCGGCGTTTTGCGGCAGCCGTCTTTCTCAGGACCTGGCGCCAACGCGGGACAGAAAATCAAACATGAAAATAGGATGGATGAGTTTAGAAAAGTTTGGGCTCTTCACATTTTATTTGGATAATGTTAAATGATAGAATTTTAATATAGGGTACTATGTGAGTGTAAGAAAATCATGTTTGTTTCAACTTCCAATTATAAATTGTAACAAATAGTATCTGACCAATAAATTTAAAATAAATTTTTAAACTATAAAATTAGTAATATGTGATCGCTAGATTATTTTTGTTCACTTATATTACCATATAATATAATTAATTCTATTTTTATTCTCACAAATTAAAAACTTTATTTTCTCTACTTTTCTCATTCAAGCCGCACGCAAGGAGGACGGAACAGCTTCAATCTTCTTTTTCTTTGATCAATATCTGCTTGTTCTTCTTATTTGATTGTTTTGAAACGTTGAATTCTTGATTCTATTTCTGATTTACGTTCTTCATCTTCTTGATCGTTAAGTATTTGTATATTTTTTTCTTTAATTTTTCTAGCATCAATTTCTTTCGTTTTTTTTATTTGTATGTGTTTCTTTCGTTCTTTACCTTCCAATCTTCTTTGAATAATGTTCTTCTAGGTTATGGTAAACTCACTCTATTTATTTATTTTTTATTTTTTAAAGCTTGAATTTTTTTTTGTGGAAGAGGAGTTGTTACCCAATGCTGTTTTTCCAAGTTTATATACTTTCTGTTTGACTTGTTTTTTTTTTTCTTCTGGTTTATTCTCTTTTTTTATATGCTGGAAATTCTTAAAGATTAGGGTTGATTCTTGACTTGCTCTCTTTTGATTTTGCAAATCAATATAAGGGTTTGAACAAAAAAGAAAAAAGACAAAACAAATCAAAACCATTTGTTTTGTTTATTCTGTTTATTTTAAGCATTAATAATTTTAATATGATTTTGTGATGGACCATTTGTGCCTGAATTTCTTAACCATAAAAAAACATGTGAAGCTACCTTCATCTCTTAAGTAAGTGATAAATCTATAGGCAATTCGCCATAGGTGCATTTCTATATCTGAATGTGGGCTTCTAGAGTTGCCTTTTCCATGAGATGTTTAAGGTTGAGAGAGGATTTTCTATTTGGATATTTCTTGAATCAAAAGAATTCAAAGTGGTTGTTTTATATCTACCTGTATATCTTCTCAAATGATGGGTATTGTTTAATAAAGCTTTTTGGATGGAGTCTAACCTGCATGCATGTGTTAGATATCGAAACCTTGTGATTCATATCCATTATGACTAAGTAAGGACTAGCCTATGTTTAGGAAAAAATTAAGAATATTTGTCGAACTCATTTGGAGATCTATAATTATTTTAACATATCTTTGGATATTATATAAAATATGTATAAGAAAAGGAATTGTAGATAATTTCAAGTGGAATAAGAAGAATGTAGTTTAAATTCTTTAATGAAATTTGGAATGTCTTATGTAGCACCCGGAAAGGAGGAAGAAAAAAAAAAAAAAAAAAAAAAGGGGGGGCCACGTCAGCAGGCCCGGCCAACCGGGGCCTGCCACGTGGCAAGACCGCGTCACTCCGAAAGGAGCCACGTTGGCGATCCGCGTGGGTGCGATCCGACGGCCCAGATCAATCGCGCGATCGGACGGCCCAGATTCAATCGCACGGACGGCCCAGATTCAATCAAAAACGAACGGCCCAGATTAAAACGAAATGAACGGCTGTGATCAAAAGGCAAGGGGTTATAAATAGAACCCCCACACCAGACCACAAACCCTAGCCGCCCGCCGCTCGCCGGAGAAGACGAACCAGAGGCCGACCGCCGCCACCCGCCGCCGCACCGGGAAATTTTCCGACCGCCGATCGAGGTAAATTTCATACCCCCGACTCGTTTTTCTCCGCTGATTCCTCCTATGGCCAAATTGAGGCCGAAATCCCGGCCAAACGGCCGGAATACGCGGCCGAAACCCAGCGGCGCCGCTGCGCCCCTCTCGGTTTTTTGCCTCCGACAAGGTCCTTCCCGGCCTCCGTTCGATGCAATTTTTATATTACCGTGATCACCATTCTTTTCTCTACAGGTTGACCGAAGCCGAATCACCAAAACACGAACCTCGCCGGAGAGCCGCCGTACCCGAGAGCGCCGCCGCCGGTAAGCTCCGCTTTTCCGTGATTTTTGGCCCCCCGAGGGCCCTAGGGTTGTTTTCTAACAAGGACCAATGCGAGTGTGGCCGAATTCGGCCGAAAACAGCCAACCCGAGGCGACTCGCCGCCGCCAGCGGCGGCGCCGTCGCCGGAGCACGGCGGAGCCGCCGTGCCGGAGTTGCGATTTGGTCCGAAAGGGGCCCTGGGCCTAATTTGGATTTTTTTTGGAACACGTGCAGGTACTGTTAGTGTGTTTCAGTTCCTCGGGAAAAATTCAGGGAAAATTAGGGACGGCCTGCAGGCGCACTGTGAATCGTATTCGGATCCCGAAAACAAGTAAGGACCCCTCACCCTATTTCCTATCACGGTATTAAAGTTCAAAATGATAAAACGGTATTTCTTGAATTAACGCATGTGTGAAATTGCTTAAGGTTGCTAATGGAGCCCGAGTCTAGTGTGATTGATGATTTACTGTTATTTGGCCTGTTTTACAGCTTTAAATGCATTATGGGGTTTGATGTGTTCATTTTATAGTTTCAAATGCATATATTACTGTTTTATTAATTATGGGTTGAATGACTGAAGAACTGATACTGTATGTTGTCTGTTCGGCATGAATTACGATTTGTTTGTTTAAATGTGAATTGATGATGCTTATTGAGGAAAAGGGAAATGAAACATTGTGTAGACTGATAATTGTATGATGGGGTCAGCCTGACTAGATATCCTGGGAGATGGTGGATGGACCGGGTCCGTAGGGAACCCTACCGGGATTGTGGTCTCACATGTCGGACGGGGTATGGAGATCTTATGGTTTTGGCGCCCATACCGGACGGGGTATGGGGACGGCCCGTTTCACCCTCATACCGGACGGGGTATTGAGGTTTATGGTTTTGGCGCCCATACCGGACGGGGTATGGGGACGGCCATGGAAACTGATTATGAATGTTAAAGGTTAACGGGTAGCGGGACCCCTAGGGACCCCCATGGATACTAGTAGGCTGGTAAATGAGAAAAGGATATGTTGTATAATGATTGAATTACAAAAGGCGTGATAAGTGCTATGTTTTACAGCTTATATTATTCCATGATTGTGATAATGTTATTATTTTTCTTATATTGTTTTCATAAATTCCACCGAGGTAAGTGGATGGTAAAGGTTTTCATGTTAATAAACGAGTTTATTGTAAATTATGCTCCATTGGTCTTTTTGTGTTTTTCTACCCACCTTTACCTCCGTGACGGTGAGATATCGTGATGTTCTTACTGGGCTAGTGTAGCTCACTCCTTATTTAACCATTTCAGATCAGGAAGACATAGTTCCCGAGCCCGTTCCGCAGGAGGACGACGAAGGGGATGCCTAGAGACTCTGTAGTCATACTCATAGTTTTATTTTCGAGTTTCTCTCTTAGTTAGTTTAATCTTTTATATTTTAAGTACGTTTTTGGTTTTTCGTGTAAGGGATGTTAACTGAAATTTTGATCTCGCTTCCGCATTTGATATATTTAAATACTCATTTCATTTTAATATTTCCGGGGACGTTACATCTTATTTTAATTCTCAAATTTTATTAATTTTCTAATAAAATTTTCATTAGTCCTAATTAAACTTTGTAAATCTTTAAATAAATCCCACAAAATTTATAAACATATTTCAAATGTAGTCTTAAATGATTAAAAAAGGATAGTCCTCTAGTTCAAAGATAAAGATAATTTGGTTGCATTTTATGTTTATACAGAAGTAAAAACTTTCAACTTTTTACTTTTAGGAAAAGAAAAGTTCATGCACATGTGAGAGGCCAGCTGCATTTTATGAACTTACTATTATTTGTTTATTTTTGTACTGGAGAAATTTCTTTTTTGTATTATAAGTCAGATTCAAAACAAATTTAGTTGTTAGGATGTTTGATAATTCATGCTTCATGGTGTCTTGAAGTTAAGATTTCATTAGCAAATTCTTCACCGAATTAATTTTTAGGATGTTTGATAATTGTTCTAACTGCTGATCATAAAAAAACTTAAACTGATAGAAAAGTTATTATTCTGATGTTCTTTCACACTTTTAATTTTTTCTTCTAAATTGTTTGAGCGCGTTTGATATTTTGCTTGCTATATTTTCACTGCCTATATATTCGCTCATCTTTATGGATATGATTGCTTGAGTATCAACTTTATCTCAACTCTGTGTTTCCTCTCATTCTTTTCATGAGATGCACAACTTTTTCTTTGTAGTCTGTAAAAAAAGTTCCTCTATAGCTTGACTTCAATTATTATTATTATTTTTTACTTTTATCTTTTGAAAGAGTTCTTTCATTTTCAGTAAGATTTTCTTCAGTTCTATTTGATTTGATTTCTTTTACCCTAACTTGTTTCATTAGCCTGAAAGCAATGTGGAGCTTAAATTTTTATACAAGCTTTTTTATTGCTTAATGATTTCTTTTTCCACCTTGTTAGGAAAAACTAGGGGAGGTGGCATTGGTGGCAAATCTTGCTGAACCTGGCTACACGCTCGAACTGTCATCCCTTGTTCCATCAGTTGGTTTGGTTAGTATGATTAATTTCTTATAGGATGTAACTATCAAGACTAGACCATGTTTACACTTAGCTAGTTTCTGTTTAAAGCATTAATGAATTAAACATAATAATAAATCTATTTAGGGATGGCAATGGGGTTAGTTCGGTGTGGGTTTTGCCAAAATCGAACCCGCCATAAATTTTTAAAAAAATTGATTTTCTTTGCACTGTGTAGGTCTACTATGAAATCCGCCCTGCTCGATCCCAAGTAATTTAAAAAATCTAGTGAGATGCAAATGAAGACTCTCAGGCGAGTGGTGAGCCACAAAGAATAAGATGTTGTGATGGGGGAGTGAAGCCGATAATTAGGGAAACTAAAACTTGCATATGAGGAAGGTGTTAATCAGGTATAAGGGAAATCAGG